CTTCATATACTGGAATCATATATTATGGACCTTTTGTACCTGGCTTCTTTCACTTAGTATGATGTTTTTAAGGTTCCTTTATGTTGTAGTACTTCATTCCTTTTTTTTTTGTTGTTGTTGTTGTTATTGTTTCCTTTATAGTACTTAGGATTGAAGCCAGGGATGCTTTACCACTGATCTGTATCCTCAGCCCTTTTTGTTTTATTTTGGGAGAGGATTTTGCTAAGTTGCTGAGGCTGGCCTTGAACTTGTGGATCTTCATGCCTCAGCCCTTCAAGTTGCTAGGATTACAAGAGTGTACTACCATGCCTATTTTTTAATTTATTTGCCTTATGTCATTGAGTCATAAGAGAAATTTATGTATCCTGGCCACTAGGCTCTTATCAGATATACGATTCACAAAYATTTTCTCCCAATCTGTCATTTCACTGATGTCTTTTGAAGCACAAGTGTTTTTAATTTTGTTGAAGTCCAAGACATATATTTTTTTCTTTTGTTGTTTATTGTATTGTGTCATATCTAAGAAACTATTGCCTAATCCAGAGTCACAAAGATTTATGCATATGTTTTCTTCTAGGAGTTTAATAGTTTCAGCTCTTACATTTAGGTCTTTGATCCAATTTGAGTTAATATTTATATACAGTGTGAGGTCACATACTATTTTTGAAAACAAGCTAAAGTGATAATCAGGAATGTAACAACTATGCAGCTGTTATGGTTTCAGTTGAAAATCATAATTCTTTAAGCATACATATTATTTAATGGAAAGAAAATAGACTTCAATTCCTAATGAGGCATATATGTTCAAATTTTATGTTTTATGTTCAATTTTGATATTTTTGTTTTTAAAAGTCAACTTCTTTCAATAAACAYTTAAATAAAACAATTAAAATGTTTTTATTCCCTTGTTATAATTATATGTCTTCAGTTCAATGCAGTTGTTCTCAGCATTGGAGGACATTTAACAGTATTTGGAGACATTTTTGGTTGTCAAGACGGGTGGGAGAGGGTGCTACTGGCATCTCTGAGGTAGAGACCAGAGAGGCTGCTGCAGTCTAGGTGTATAGCACAGCCTACACAAAAGAAGCATCTGGCTCAAAATGTTGATTGTGCTGAGGCTGAGAAAGCTAGCTGTCTGGATCTGTGGCATCCATCACAGAGATTTGGAAAGCTGTGCAAGTTAGCAAACCAGTTTCCAACTTCGTAAATTTCTCCCATCACAATACTGAGCCTTTGGGCAAGCCAGAATGTGTCCCAGCCCCTTACTACCATCTTACCCTCGTGGCAATGACAATCTATGGGCATCCCCTTGAGATTTTTTGAGAAAACCCAAGCACCTGCTTTCAATCCTTAATTTGTTGTATATTTGCATGAAATCTCACATGCTCATATTCAAATATTTTGAACTTCAAATGTATTTGGATCATTAATTCTCTCTTAGCAACATATCTGGGTAACCAGACTCCTGTCAAAATGTACTTGAACTGATGCTATAACAACAGCCCTAAGTCACCCTTTGGGGGTGTTCATTACACCAGGCACCATGCTGAGCACTCTGCCTGCATTGTCTAATTTAACTTTCTCAACCCGCCTACAAGGGAGTCACTATTCACATTCTGCAGCCATAGAAACTGCAGCATTGAGCTTAGGGGCCAAGCCCCATCATATAGTTGGGTCATTGTTATTCTGAATCAGCACTTGAGCCTTAGGTGGGGTCAACTGTGAAGTGCAGGCATGTCACAGAACGGTTGGATGAATCATTTTGGACAAGCACATACAGACATTTGCAGGGCAGTGAAGTGGCCCTCAACCACACAGTAAGCCCCCTGCCATGGGACAGAAGGAACTAGCTTCAGGAAGTCCCCTCTAACCTTGCACCTGTCTGCGAAGCCTGGCTCTGCTGGGAGCCTCTCTGTTGTGGCAGACAGTGTGTGAGAACTGCTGCTTCAGGGTGCGGTTGGCATCACACATTCCTGATGCTCTTTTAGGCTTGATTTTCTACCTATAGTCACCCTCTCACTACATCCTCCAGCTCCTAGACTCTCCCAACCTGTGGCCTTAATCTGTTTGCACCCCTTGAGGCCCTTACCTGACCTCTGCTGTGCACGCCTCCTCACCTATGCCCCCCCCCACCCAGGCAGTGATTCCCCCCTCTTCCCCCACCCCGTCTTGCAGCCTCTACTTTTGCTTACACATGGTGTGGTGGTAGACGGTGGTAAAACAATTGCAAAAATTCCACGTCTGTTCAAGGTGGCCTCTCCTCCCAGCATCATCTCTCTGGGTGTCAGGCACGCAGCCATCTTTATATGCCTCTTGTGCCCTTGTCAGAGGGGGATTTCAGGAGAGTTTGTGAGTGAGGGAAGATAAGTGGTACCAAGATTTGAGATGGAATGACTCCAATTTAGTCAATTTGTGGGTGCAKCAAGAAGTTGCACACCTGCACCCCAGGTGTCCTCTAGCTCTCTGAATGAGTGCAAGGGGGTCAGAAGAATTAGAAATGCAGATGACCTCTCCCCCAAATCTGAACGACTTTTGTTCTGATTTGTCCCTGAAATTCCTTGGGCAAATCTTTGCTTGTTCTGGAGGGAGGGGGATCTCTGAGCATCCTCACGGTTATTAACATATTTGCCTCTCAAAGGTTTGGGGGGTTGAATTAAAGGGAAGCCCATTGGGGTGATTGAAACCTACCCTAATGGGGAATCTGCTTCCGTGGGAAGCCCATGCTTAGTAGCCTGCCCATGTTTGAAAGAGAGCAAGTGCCCAATTGGTGGATGCTATCTTTCTTGAGAGACCCATCTCCAGGGGCAACGTTCAAAATATTTAACAACCAGCATGTCACAAGCACAGACCTGCTGGAGGCTGGAAGTAACCTATGGGAGGGCCACAGGCGCTGCAGCCAGAGGCACCTTGTCCTCCTCACAGCTCTGCTGGGCTTTCGGATTGCATTTGGTGATTCTGCCTCTTTCCACCTGATTCTGCATTTGAGTCCTCCCTCAACCCCCTTTGGCTTCTCTTTCCAACACTTGAAACACAAACTGCTATTGTTCATACATCCAAACACAACTTAGTCTTATTTACTTCTTTTAAAAATTTTTTTTAATAGTTGTAGTTGGACATCATGCCTTTATTTATTTTTTAATGTGGTGCTGAGGATCAAACCCAGTGCCTCACACATGCTAGGCAAGTGCTCTGCCACTGAGCTACAGCCCCAGCCCAATCCTATTTACTTCTCTAGTGACACTCTGAACCTCTGGGCTCAGCCTATGTCAGTCACCCTGAATCCTCAGCCCTCACCTTTGGAAACTTTTGAGACAGGGAAACCAGAGGATTAAGAGATAGCCTTTGTCTGCCCTTCATCTGGGATGTGGATTGACCTTGGACAAGTCCCTGCTGCTCCTGGGCTTTCAGATTCTTTGCATGTAGAAAGAGAGACTTGGATGGAGTCTATAGCTCTGGGGTCCCCACTGGTCCAGGATGAGTTCCTAGAGATTTATGAGTCTTCAGCAGCTGACTGCTCTCTCTCTCTCCTTCTCTCTCTTGCTCCCTCTCCTACCTCCACAACCTGCATCTAGAATGCTCTGCTGCCTGCAGGCCTGAGGCAAAAGGATCAGACCACCAAGGCGCCCACGGGCCCCTTTAGAAGAGAGGAGCTCTTGGATCACTTGGAAAAGCAAGCAAAGGAGTTTAAGGATCGAGAAGACCTGGTCCCCTACACGGGGGAGAAACGAGGTACTGAGTGATGTCATTCTTGTGCATACATCATTCCCAGGTGTGGCCGAGGGCCCACTATGTGCCAGGCCCCTCCCTGACTGGCCAGGAGACAAGTCCCAGCTCCTATGGCACCGATGTGTGGTGTGTATTTGGTTAAGTTTGGGGGTGAACAGAGGAAAGACACCCCACCTGGAGCAGCCACACTTCTCCCCTGGTCCCTTTTGGCTGGAGCGTCCTGGCCATTTTTCATCCAAACCCAGATCCCATTGAGAGTGAAAGAGGAAATCATTCTCAGGACATGAGGCCTAACCAAGGACCACCCTGTGCATTTGAGGAACCAGAGAGAGGGCCCTGGCCCTTCCCTCCCTTCATCTGTCTGTCCAGATGCTCCAGCCCAGGATGCATCTAGAAGTCCCCTGGGAGCAGAGAGGCTCTCCTGCCTGTGTGCCTTCCAGGGCCCCCCGTTGTGTATTTTGCCTGTAGATGCCWTTGATATTTACTGTGAACAATTTAAAAAATAAAACAAAGCAAGTCAAAATAATTTCTKCCATTGAAAATAAGTTCTGGTCTCGTTTTAGTGAAGATCTTCCTGGACATTTCYCTATGTACTTCCTGCTCCCTCCCCACATCCACCCTGTGCTTTTGGCCCAAGTCACTATGATCTCTCACCTGGACTGTCACACCAGCCCTGTGACCATCTCCCCACCCCCAGTCTCTTTCCTCTTCAAGCTGTGCTTCATCAACAGCCCAAGTGAACAGGGTTGTTTCTTTTTTTCAATTGACGTAAAATTTACATGACATAAAATTAACCATTTTAAAGGCAACAATTCAGTGCATTTAGTACACCCACAGTGTCACAACCACCACCCCTATCTAGACTCAAAACACTGTCATTTCTCCAGAACTAACCAGGTATCCCCTTTCCTCCACTACTCCATCCCCTCTCCCCAGCCCCTGGCAAGTACTACTCTATGAACTATTTATTCTGGATATTTCCTATAAATGAAATCACACAGTACATGACTTTTTGTATCTGGTTTCTATCAACTAGTATAATATYCTACAACTCATGCATATTGTAGTATGTCTCAGTACTTGGTTTCTTTTTATGACTAAATGATATTCCATAATTTGTTTATCCATTTCATCCACTGATTGATAGACATCTTGGTTGTTTTCACCTTTTGGCTATTGTGATTTCACCCTTTGGCTGCATTGAACATTCCTGTACAAGTATTTGTTTGAATGTCTGTTTTCAGTCCTTTGGGATRTATACCTAAGAGTGGAATTGACGAATCATATGGTAACTCTATATTTAAATTTTGGGAACTCCCAACCTTGTTCTCCATAGCAACTGTTCCGTTTTTCACTCCCACCAGCAATATATAAGGGATCCAACTTTCTACATCCTTGCCAACACTCATTTCCTGCTTTTTTTAGTCCTGCTCATGGGTGTAAAGTGGTTTCTCATTGTGGTTCCATTTGCATCTCCCTAATGAAGCATCTTTTCCTGGGCTCATTGGCCATATGTATATCCCCTTTGAAGAAATGTCTATTCCAGTCCTTCACTCATTTTTAAATTGGGTTGTTTGTCTTTTCGTTGTTGGGTTGTAAAAGTTCTTTCTATATTCTGGGTACTAGACTCTTATATAGAGTTTGTGAATATTTAATTTCACTCTGTATGTTGTCTTTGTACTTTCTTGATAGTGTCCATTAATGTGTAAAACTTAAATTTTGATGAAGTWTGATCTTTTTTTCCTTTTGTTGCTGGTAGTTTTGTTGTTGTATTTAAGACTCCATTGCCAATCCTAAGATCATGAAGACTATCCTAAGGTCATGCTTTTGCTTTCTTCTAAGAATGTTGTAGTTTTAGCTCTTAYATTCAGGTCACTAATCCACTTTGAGTTTGATTTTGTGTATGGTGTGAGGTAGGGGTCCAACTCTTCATTTGCAAGTGAATATCCAGTTCTGCCAGAACTCAGAAATGATTCTTTCCCATTGAATGGATTTGGCACAGTTGTTGAAAATCAATTTGCTATGGATGTTCAACTTTATTTCTGGACTTTCAATTTGATTTCATAGTCTATGTGTCTATCCTTACACGAGTATCACATTAGCTTTGCAGTTAAGTTTTGAAATCAATAAGTCTTCTAATTTTGTTCTTTTTAAAGATTGTTTTGTCTATTTGTGGACCCCTGCAGTTCCATATGCACTTAAGGATTGGCTTTTTCTTTTCTGCAAAAAAAGGTCATTTGGATTTTTGATAAGAATTCCATTGAATCTGTCTGTACATCATGTGGATCATACTGCCATCTTAATAATATTTAATCCATTAATTCAAGATATTTTTGCATTTATTTAGATCTTCTTTGATTTCTTTCAGCAATTTTTGTAGTTTTCAACGTAAGTTTATCCATAAGCACATGATTCTCTGGGTCCTATCGTAAATGCAAGTGTTTTCTTGAATTCCTCTTCAGATGGTTCGTTGTTGATGTGCAGAAACACCACTTACTTTTGTCCGTTRATCTTATACCATGCAACATTCCTGAATTTATTAGTTTTTACAGATTTTTGTATGTGGAAATTCAAGGTTTTTCTCCATATAAAAATATGTCATATACAATCAGAAATAATTTTCCTTCTTTCTTCTCAGCTTGAATTCCATCTGTTTTTCTCATGTCTTTACTCTGACTAGAGCTCCCAGGACAGGGTTGAATAGCAGCAGTCGAAGTGAGTCTCTTCATCTTGTCTCTCACAAGACTTCTGACAGGTCCCACATCACAGGCCGTCATCTCAGTGAAGTCTTCAAAATGATGATGCCACCTCCTCCGCCTTACACCTTGGCTTTTCCTAGTCCTTTCCTGGCTTTGTCTTCCTGTGTTCATGATGCTTAATGCCACATGATTTCTCATGTTTATTCTCTGTCTCCTTTCAATAACTTGTAAGCTATTGAAAGTCTTGGTCACTGCTGCTCATCAGTCCCTAGAAAGGTGTCTGGCACATAAGAAGCATTCTATTATTATTGCATGAAACACATGCACACACACACACACACACACACACACACATGCACACATGGGATTAGTTTTAGTCTCAGTCCATCTTCTAGTGCTATAACTGAATACCACAGGCTGAATGGATAATTATGAAGAAGAGAAATTTATTTCTAGAGGCTCGAAGTCCATGAGCCGGTGAGGGCCTCCTGATTGCAGTGTAACCTGGTGGAGGATATCACATGACGAGAGAGAGCGAGTGTGCTAGTTCAGGTCTCTTAAGAASTCACTAACACCCAGGCACAGTGGCGCATACCTGTAATCCCAGTGGTGCAGGAGGCTGAGGCAGGAGGATCACAAGTTCAAAGCCAGCCTCAGCAATTTAGCAAGACCCTGAGCAACTCAGTGAGACCCTGTCTCTAAATAAAAAATATAAAGGGCTGGGGATGTGGCTCAGAGGTCGAGCAACTCTGGGCTCAAACAGTACCAAAAAAAAAGAAAGTCACTAATACCACCATGAAATCACCCCCRCCCTTGTGATTTCATCCACTCCTAATGACCTCCAAATACCATGAACACAGGAACTTGGGGATGAGGTTTCTAACGCTTGAACTCGAGGACACAAAGACCTTAACATGCTGTTTGTGAAATTTAATTCTTCACACACGTGTCTTGGGCATTTTCCTTCTTCATCCCAAGCAGCTACCCTCAGCACACTTTAAGAGCCCCTGGCACCCCTTGGGGGTGGGGCACCCTCACCTCTCCAACAGTGCTCACTAGTGGACCAGCAGTGGGCATTTGCACGTCTCCCRCTTTACTCTCTCATTCTGTCACGAGCCTGACAACTTTAAAAACAGAATGTCCCAAGAGGCAAGTGTGTATTTTTGCTCCCTTTTTGTGTTGTGTGAGTATGTGTGTGTGTGTGTGTTGCTGGGGACCAAATCCAGGGTCTCACACATGTTGGGCAAGCGCCCTAACCCATAAGCTGYACCCCATCCCCCTTTTTGTCTTTCCACCATCTGAGTGTATTTTATTTAGGAATGTTTACAACTTTTTCTCTTACACGAGAGCCCTTAGTTAAGGCATCCCTATTTTATTCTATTATTTTCCCTTGTATTTTTCTTGCTTGCAGGTGATTTAAAGTCATGACTGATGCTTTGAATAGAGTGGTTTAGTTTGACCAAGTTACAAAACCCTTCTTTTCAAGTGTGAGCGAGGGGTGCCRTGTTGGGATCCCTAGTCTCTGGGGAAGCTGTTTTCTGGAGGGAGAAGCCTGAAGGGCCCCCTCCACGGCACTCTGCCATGGTCCACCAGGGCCAGTGTCAAAGGCGGTCCKATCGTGGTCACACACCTTGACAGACACCGTGTGTGTTCACAGGAAAGATCTGGGTCCCCAAGCAGAAGCCCGTGGATCCCGTGCTGGAAAGCGTGACGCTAGAGCCCGAGCTGGAGGAGGCCTTGGCCAACGCCTCGGATGCGGAACTCTGTGACATTGCAGGTGAGGGGCCTTCCAGAAGCCTCCCAGTGCCTTCCAGAGGGTTTATTCACAGCTGCAGGGAGCCCTTGTTTGGTTCACTTTAACAGGACACCTTCTATTTCTACAAGGAGACCAAAGTGTTAAGATAAAACTCCTTTCTCAGGGTAGGGGTGGAGCCCAGGGGTGGAGCACTTTCTGACSGGTGCAAGGTCCTGGGTTCAATCCCCAGCACAGGAAGGGAGGGGGTGCATATCCATTATCAAGATGAGGGGGAGAGAGAAGACCATTTGAGCCCGTCATATCACACAGCCACTTGTTGCCATGAGACCCCCTCCCCCAGAGAGACAGGAATGTTTCCCAGAGAGGGCCAGTACAGGGCCTTTCCCAGCCACTTGTATCACATCCTGCACAAGCCCCAGAAAGAAAATAGAGGGAAACAAACGGGGCCTGGCGTGACTGGTTTGGGAGACTCACAAAAGGACCAGAGTGAAGACACCTGGTTTTAAGTTTTGAGCAGGGCTGAGAGTGTCCCCCTCGTGTCTCATACTTCAGACACACCTCCAACGTGTGCCTCATTCCTCCGATGTGTGTTGCCACATCATCTTCACACACAGCCTGGAAAACTCCAGAAGGTGGCAGATGTCCAGAGTCCTTTGCTGCTCACCTTTCTGCCTAGTTCCTGTTCYGTCCCCACTGAGGGGTGGGCTTCTTCCTGAAGACTCTGGGGCTGCTAACCCTCACTCAGTGAGGTCCAGGGAAGAGTTGGCCCCAGAGACTAAGTGGCTTTTGGTGACTTTAATAAAGGAGGAACAGCAGTAAGGGAAACATTGAGTTTGATTTCTGGCCTGTGACATTTCAGGTGCCTTGAGCCACCCAAAGGGGATAGTTGTGCACAAAGTTCTGGAGTTCTGCAAGGAGTCCCTCTTTGGGACAAAGATCTGGGCATGATTAGTGTTGCCAAACTCCGGGAAGAGCAAATGGCAGGTGGGGCCTGGGCTCTGGGGAGGCTTGTGCCAGGCTGGGGTAGGAGACTTTAGGGGCCAACCTAGCATGGTGGCATTAGCCATAATGGGCTGGAAACCAGAGGCCAAGACAAGATGGGCAGACCTGACCCAAGAGCCAGGAGGCAGAAGGAGGGTTCAGGCCAGTGGAGAGTCTCTGAGGTACCAGGCCAGGGACTGGGTGGGGCAGCAGCTGTCCACCTCGTCGTGTCCACTGGTCTCTTGGCTTCTCCAGGATGCCTGTGCGTGACTCCTGAAGGCATTCCGGGCAGGGAAGGGAGCTGGGGAGGGCGCTCATCTGCAGCAGGGGGGCCATGGAAGGAGGGCAGCAACTTCAACTCTTCAAACACGGGCCAGGGTGACCCTGAGCAGTGGCAGGGGAAGCCAGGTTTCAGAGGCCTGAGGAGTGAAGGGAGAGAGCAGGTGTGTGGCCCTGAGTACAAGCAGCCCTTTCCTGAGGAGATAGGAAGTGTGCAGAAGGACCAAGGGCAGCAGCCAAAGGACATGKGCTGGGAGAGTGGCTTCCATTCACACTGCAGAGCAGGGAGGCGGAGAGCTCTCCCCAGAGGGGAAGGGAACACTGAACTCAGGAACCTAGTTTGCTGGGCAGTTGAGGATTTGTTTTGTCAGAAGCTGCACAAGTCATATCAGATGGCCCGTGATGCCCATGTGTTCAACCAACCTCTCCCCAGCCGGGGTCCTCTTGAAGGAGCCCATGCAGAGGAGTGCTGATGCCCTGGTCCTGCACCCCCAGGCTGACTCGCCCTGGAGCTGTTTTTATCCTGGACTTTCTCCTGCAATCACCCTGCATGACATCACTCCACTCATTAGGCAGCTCCAGGGGATTATCAAATGACCGCTGTCAGAACCAGGGCTCCTGCCCATGCCTGAGCCAAAACAGATCCACAGCACTGGGTGAAGTTTCTGGGTTGCTTTCTTGAAGCTGTTTCTCTTTCCTTTTGTTGCTGCTGGGCTCGTTTTTATTATTTGCCCATGATACCATGCCCTTCTGATGTCYGTGAGGGAGCTGAGGCTGTGCATTCAGCCCAGTACTAACTGGATGTCCCCAGATTCTTGAAAGGTAGAAATGCCATTGGAAGGGAGGGATATTTGCCGAGCACCACCTGGGTCCCAGGTGCTGTGTGGGTCGCTCTCAGCCCCCTGTTGCTTCTAGTGATCACAACAATCCCATGAAGCAAATTCTGTCGTTGTCCCAGTTTCATACCAGAGACCAGTTGCTCCTAGCACTGGGTTGGAAGTTGGGGGGCCCAGATGATGCCAGGCTTGGTGGCTGGAGGTGTGGGTGTGGCTCCATTCTCAAGAAGGGTGTGGCTGAAGCCATGAGTGGGGTGACTCACCAAACGAAGAAACTAAGGGGACCCAGGGTCTAGAGGTCACCTCTAGTTCACTCCCAGATAGGGATGGTACCTTCTATCATCCCAGGCTTTGGTCTCTCATGCACACAGTAAGCACCATGTTCCCAGGGCCTGCCTACCTACTATGTACCATGCCTCAAACTAGGCTCTGGTGAAATAATCCTAAGAGAACAGCCCGTTTCCTATCCTCATGGAGCGAACTTAAACAAGTACCTGGAAAATGTGATATGACAAATGAGGCCCACCCTCAGGCCACCTGCCCCCAAGGACAGTCAGCCAGCCCTAGCTCTGTGACTCCTGGCCAGATCATCCCCTGGCTATTTTCATGCCCTCAGGCCCTTGTCCTAGACTCTCATAGTGGTGCTTATCTAGGCACCCAAGTCCTGGGCCAGAGCCACTTTCTCTCACCTGTTCCTAGGATGCAGGTGCACACCTTGCAGCTGTCCGCCGAAGCCATAGGCAGCTGGAGAAGCCGGACATGTATGCGAGCTCACGCTGCATCCCGAGTGGAATCACAAACGAGTGAGGCCTGCCAAGGCAGAGAGAGGAAGCAGAACKCAATGTTCTTTTTCTGAGTTCAAAAATAGTTCTTTTTGAGTTTTGAGGAAGATCTAGACTTTAAAAAAAATAAAAAAGAAAGAAAGAAAGAAAGAAATCAAGTCCCCCAGTGCTAAATTCAGCTTTGCCGTATCTACAAAGAACAAAGCAGCAGACTGTGTGGAAGTGCTGTTTTCTTCCATTGCTTCCTCCTAGTGACATGGAGCACCCAGGACCAAGTGAGAGAGAAGGTCCCCATCTCCTACCTAGGGCTAGCTAAGGCAGCACTGGATTCAGGACCACCAGGTGCCACTTTGGGCCCTCTTCCTCCCTCCCTCCCTCTCTCCTCCTTCCCTCTTTCCTCTTTCCTTCCACCTTAATTTCTTCTGAGCTGCCAAATGGTTTTACTCCTCCTTAGGCCTGCTATTGATACATAGTACCTCCTAGCACATATGTGATGGGTCCTTAGAATTTCCTGGTAGAGCCGGGGTGCAGTGGTGCTTGTGAGGCTGAGGAAGGAGGATGGTGAGTTCAAAGCCAGCCTCAGCAACATTGAAGCACTAAACAACTCAGTGAGATCCTGTCTTTAAATAAAATACAAGATAGGGCTGGGGATGTGGCTCAGTGATTAAGTGTCCCTGAGTTCAATCCCCAGTATCCGCCCCCTCCCTCTCCCCCGCCCCCCCMAAAAAAGAATTCCCAGGTTGAGGAGATGTTCTAGAACTCCAGGACTACTAATGACCTCATAAGCAGAAATACTAACTTAGAAACCAGGAGAATCCTTGCCAAAAGGTCTTGGCAAACCATCTCCCTGGAAAGTGGAGGTGGGGGGTTTGACAGGGCCTGCCTGGATGTTTATTGTGAACAATCAAAACAGGAGAAACCAAGGGGAAGTGTTGTGTGGCTGTTGACTGAGGCCCACGGGAAGGTAGGTGTTTAGCACTTACACACCTCCACTTTACAGATGAGAAAACTGAAGTCCCAAAGGGGAAGCAACCTGTCCAGGGTTACCCAGGAAATTAGGACCAAGGCCCAGGCTGAAACCCAGGCCTCTCAGTCCCCTGCAACGTCCCTGCCTCTGCACCCCTCTCTAGACCATCACAGGAAGCTGGCAACCGAGCTCCACATACACTTTCCATTCTCCACCTCTGTCTATGTCCAGGGGGAGAGCAGGCACCATGTGAGGTCGCATCCTTCACAGGATTCCCCATAACCTTTGCAAACTGTGTTTCCAACCTGAAAACAGTCGCAGCCCAGAACACCATGAGCTGCTGCTGTGTGGGAGCCCTGAGCGCCAGCTCCAGGGGGTGCCTCGTGGTGATGTGAYTCACCTGCCGCTGACTCAGGCCTCAGCTCCTGCTGCCCACGGAGATGCAGCCTAAATTAAAACCTGGAGAGCTCGAAAAACTGCAGATGCCTCTCTCCCTATCGGTTCTCCTCAGTGATGAACAGGCAAGGATAATTTTAGGATGTGAGGAGCAGAAGGGACTCTCAGATCATTTCGTGTGTGGTTCTTGGCTCCCTAGGGGCATCAGAATCACCCACRGAGGTTAAAAAAATCTCTCTCCAGAGATTTGTATTGTCTGTCCAGGGTGAAGCTAGGCATTGCTATTGTCTAAAAGCCTGCTAGGTGATTTGCAAGTGAGGCCATGATTGAGGAGGACTGGTCTTCTACCACCCCCTGGTTTGGCTGAGGAGACTGAAGCCCAGAGGGAGGAGGACTTTCCCAAGGTCACACCAAGGGCATAATCAGGGCTGGAACTAGAGTCTCCTGGCTCTTCATCAAGGGCTCTCATGTTACCTCTTTAACTAGAAACCATATCTAATGAAATGGGTTTTGGATTTAAAAAAAAATACCATCACCAAATGTTTACCAAATACCTACTATTTCTGGGAGGGATGCTAGAGAGACAAAGAATGTTCTTCCCTGACCTCTGGAAGCCCACAATCCAGCAGAAGAGCATGAATGTACTTGGATATCTCTCACAGTGGGYCATCTGTGGTATAATAAGGACACCAGGCATTGGGAGAATGACAGAAGGAGAGGGAAGAATCCCAGAAAACTCCCTGGAAGAGGAAAGTTACCCCAAGTCTTAAAGGAGAGGGGGAGATAGAGAGGTTGAATAAAATACAGATGTCCATTGAATTTGAATATCAGATAAACAATAAATAACTTTTTAATATGAGTATATCCCAAATATTGAATGGAACATACTTATAACACTAAGAGATCATTCATTGTCTATCTGAAATTCCAATTTCTCTTGGTGTGGAGAATCACCAGCAGAAGGGACAGTGTTGGCAAAGGCAGGAGAAGCTACTGAGAGGTGATGAACAGTGTAGCGGGTAAGCAACGAGCTGTTGAGGCAGAGCCAGCCAGSGGGGCTGGTGTTTGGACTTGGCCATCACAAGCYAYKGTCCTTCCATGGACAGCTGCACACYRAACTCACATCCATCACTCCCTCCATAGACCAGCTCATGCCCTGCTCAAGGCTTCACTGGCCTCCCCGTTCACACCAGGAAAAGACATCTAAACTCCTCATCTCAACCCAGAAGACCTTGTAAGATGCGACCTTGCCTTGTGAAGTAATTCTTCTCTAGAGGGTGGTTGTACAGATTAGTGTCAGACGATTGTTCTCAACCTCTGCTGTATCTTGAACCTTCTGGAAAGCTTTAAAAATGTTGCAGATGCCTGGGCCCCATCCCCCCAGAGAGTTTAGTTTAACAGGTCCAGGGTGGGCCTGGGCCTTGGGATTTTCTAAAGAGTCCCTAGCCTTGCATCCTGCAACCAGCTTGACAATCACTGATCTAAAGGCACCTTCCCTGGCTCAGAGCCCGTGGTGTTGCAGCCCTTGTTTTGACCACCGCAGGTCCCACTTCTGGCCCTCTCCTCTCACCTCCTTTACCCTCTAGCCCCACTGGCCTGCCTCGGCCTTTCCCATCCTCCATCCCTGTCTCCCTTCTCTCGACTTGGCCGAAACAGTCACCCTTCCCTGCCCAAGCCCCCTTTGATGTTCTCCCCAAACACGCTGAACTTTCCAACACTTGTCACACCCCATGCTTATGTGTTTGAACGGTGTGGACACTCACTTGGTGTCCTTTCCCCCATCTGACCATCAGCTACATGAGCAGAGACCCTGACCCTGCTGTTCTCCCTGCCCTCTTCCCCAGCCGGGCCCTCAGCAGGTGTTCAATAAATGCTGAACAGTGATTGAGTGGAAGAATGGCTGAGCACGGGAGTGATGAGGTCCCACTGGCATTTCCAGAAAGATCTTTCTGGCTGCTCTGTGCTGAATGTTGGGAGGGAGAGGGTCAGAAGGATAGGACAACCATTGTGCCATGGCTGTGACAATACAGATGTTTCTGAATGAAAGATGGGGGGCATCCTGATAACCCTACTGTATGTTGAAAACAGCCTACGTCAAAAACACACTTAATACCGGCCTTCCAGACATCACGACACAGCACCCTGGAGAATCTTGGTTGTTTTCCCTCGTGATTGTGGGAGCTGGGGCTCACTGCCACTGCCCAGCTTCTTGAAAGAGTGTCCTCCCAAGTATGGCTAGCCTGGGAAAAATTCAAAATTCAAAGTCTGTTTTCTACTTGATGCATGTTTCTTTCATGCCATTGTAAATTCAAAAATCATAAATTGAACCTTTGTAAGTCGGGTACCATCTGTACAACCACGAAAGACAGGGCCTCAACCAGGACAGAGGAGGTGGCTTGGGAGGTGAGACAGCCCAGGGGGGGGGTGTGTGTGGAATGGGCTTGGGGGAGGGGGAGCCATGTGGCTGAGGTGTTGCATGAGGGAGAGGTCAGATGGCAAGATGGAGAGGGATCCATAGGAAGATGGAGAGGCTGAGAAGGTTTCCTTCTATTAGGTCAAATTGGGTGGGGCATGCCAGTAGGAGCTTAGGGGGACCTGGGAATCTGAGGGCAGTGGTCAGAGAAGTCTGGGAAGGATGGTGATCTGAGAGTCACTCACATGGAGGTGAGAGTAAAGATAACATTACATTTTAACATTTTTGGCACAAGTGTTTCCAGCCATTTCTGTGAACTAAGTTCCTGGGGTGGGGAAGGTGGGTTCAAGGGAGGTATCTCTGTCTGCAGGAACAGAGTCAGAGAACTTCCTCTGTCCCCACAGCTATCCTGGGCATGCACACGCTTATGAGCAACCAACAGTACTACCAAGCCCTGGGCAGCAGCTCCATTGTGAACAAGGAGGGACTCAACAGTGAGTACATGGCCCTGACTCCTGGTGGCTGCACCCCTCGCCTGGCCCCCTTACCCCCTCACAGAGGGCACCTTGGGGGAGATGAGTCCTCCTGCATCTTGCCTCCTCTGCTCACTGATGCACTGACTCTTTGCAGAAGTTCTAAAATCTTGTGTAGCCAAAACTGTTCATCTTGTGCTTTGAATGTCCTGGAATTTTCTGTTTTGTTTACAGAAAATGTCATAAAGTATTCTCCTACATTTTTCTTCTCAACATTTGGAGATTTACTTCTTATGTTCAACTTCTTAATCCACCTGGAGTTCACATTTTGTGTGTGGGATGGGATTAAACTTTCATCTTTTGAATGAATATCTAATTATATCACATCAGTGGTGACATTTATCCTCTCCCCACTGGTGTGAGGTCTTGCTTTTATCATCAGTCTCCACATACCCAAGCGGATCTGTTCCACTGATCCCTTTGTCCTTTCCTGGGACCATATCCCATTGTCTTAATTACTCCATCGTACTGTTCCAAGCTGGCATTTGGACCCAAAGGGAAATAAAGGTGCCAGAAAAACAAGAACCCTTCCTTTGGGAAGATGTAGGCATTTCCTTTCTTCCTAGGCTTCATCGTGTCCTCACCAGAGTCCACTGAGATAATGAGCATGGTGAGAAGGACTATCCCTACTTACGGAGGAGGGCTGGAGGGTCAGAGTTTGAGAGGTTCACCCAGTTCTTTCAGAAAGTCAAAGCCAGAGCCCCAGTCTCCTGGCTCCTTCACTGGGCTCCTTCTGGCACCCATGACTTACAGGCTCTCCAAGCCCCCAAACTGCTGATGCTCCCTTTCAGGGTGTYCTTGTGTTGAAAGAAAGTCATCCCTGTCTTCCTGTGAGCCACCTCCCTCTCGCTGGTCACTCTAGGTGTGATTAAACCTACACAGTACAAGCCTGTGCCTGACGAAGAACCGAACTCGACAGACGTGGAGGAAACACTGGAGCGGATAAAGAACAATGACCCAGAACTTGAAGAGGTCAACCTCAATAACATCCGGGTAAAGTTCCTTTCTTTCACTTCACCTGTGTGTGCGTGGGGTGGGGGTTGTCCACGGCACCTAGATACCAACAGTCTAGGCCTGTTTAGACTCTGGATGTTTCTGAATCAGATGGCAGATGTCACAGATGGGAGCATCGAAGGGAGTGAACAGTGTAAACAAGTGCATCCCACGGTCCTGGTTTCTTTCTGAGCACATCAGGCCCAGATGTTCACCGTGGGTCAACCCAGCTTCCATCTGGAAACCTGCCATGTTTTTCAAAATGTAGAGATTTTTCTGAGATACGAACATTGAGTCAGACACACGCTTTAGCACATGATCTCGAGGCTGGCAGAGTCCAGGGCCCACAAGGTTCATGGGCCTGTCAAGCCCTGGGCAGGCCCTGCCCCCAGCCATCACTCCTACCTCCTGCTGGATCATGTTCAGACTCCCTCCAGCCTCGTTCTACAGCCACAGAAGGGAGCTGTTGGCCCAGTGTCCAAGGAAATAGCTGAGCTGTTTGCCCTCATCTTTGTGGACCTCTCCCCGGGTGGCCATCAGGGCAGAGGAGGGACAGGTGGACCAGGAGCCCCACCCTGGAAAAGGCTGTAGGAGGAATGCCGATTCGGGCACAGCTGCCCACCCACCTGCTCAGCCCCAGGCCAGCAGGATTAGTTTGGGGAGGTGGGGGTAAGACAAGAAGCCAGACCCCGCTCCAGGGTCCTCTTTCGTTCCTTCTCCACTTTCCAGTGTCGGCCAGCCCCCGGCACAATCAGATTGGAAACCTGGGCCCCAGTGTTCTCCTCCACCTGGCTCCCCACTCTGCTCCCTTGGGAGCTTAAGTGACACTCACTCTGAAATGAGAGCTCAATAAAAATACAGCCAGGCACTCTGCCTCAGTTGTGTGCGGGTGTCCCAAAGGGACATTGGCACAACTCAGAGTCATGCAATCTGGCAGCAAATGCCACTTGAGAGAGGCTGAGTGGCAGAGCTCCCTGGGAGGCCTCTGCTAAGGGCTCAGACTCCCTCCAGGCCTCAGTTTCCCTGATCTGGTCCAACTGCCTCATGACACAGTTTCGTCTGTGGTTTTCACCTGCGGACATTAAAAATATATGTACCAGCTGGGTGCAGTGGTGCATGCCTGTCATCCTAGAAATTTCCAAGCCTGAGGCAAGAGGATCCCAAGTTCAAGGCCAGCCTCAGCAACTAACAGAGAGCCTATCTCAAAATAAAAGGGCTGGGGGTGTGGCACAGTGGTAGAGCACCCCTGGGTTAAACCCCCAGTATTACACACAAACACACATACACACAACAATGCCCAGATTCTGATTTTATTCGTTTGGGATAGGCTCTGTTATTAGCAATTTATAAATGTTCCCTAGAAATCGCCAATGTACCACCAGAGCTAAACCTTCTGTATAGATGTCTCTGACAGAGCATCTAGTGCAGCCCCCACTTCTGATTTCTAGAAATAGGCCCAGAGAGGGGAAGGAAGTTCCCCAAAGTCACACAGAGAGTCAGACACACTGCCAGGGGCTAAGGCATAGACCAGGCTCAGCCCTGCCCCTCCCCGCAGCCCTGAGCCCACTGCATAATGCAATGCTGCTCTGTCTCTCTGTGTCTTGATTTTAGCTTCTTCTCTGACTTTCACATGCACAGAGGAGAGTTGTGGGTCCTGTCTGAAAATTCAGAGGTGATTTTCTCAATTTATGTGCCAGAAATTTCTCCCCAAATCTTTGCCTTCTGGGACAAAATCCATTTAGCCTTCTGGCTAGAGACGTGTTGGGACTAGGATCCAGGCTGCATATGTCAGAGGGTGACTGCCCCAGGTGCCTACCCACCTGTCCCAGGTGGAGACTGCGGGTCACCCTCTGCTGCCTTTCTCTCTGCAGAATATCCCTATACCTACCCTCAAGGCGTATGCAGAAGCCCTGAAAGAAAACTCCTATGTGAAGAAGTTCAGCATTGTGGGGACCCGGAGCAATGACCCTGTGGCTTTTGTATGTACCTCTTCATTCTGCTTGATTGAATTTGGGGGGGTCTGAAATGAGGGTTACGCTTGTGGCCTCAGGACCATCTGTATCCAGGTGAAAGAATGGCGCTAGGAGCCAGAAGGGGACACGGTGGGACCACCGTTGCCCAGTACTACCTGTCATCACCCCAGCCAATCCTCACGACCCCCCTGCTCTCAGAGGTGTGGGCCTCCCCACTCCGCACCTGAAAAACTAGAGTTCAGAGAGGCAAGCAGCTTGCTTTGTCCAAGTCACAGAACGAACGAGAGGCAGACATGAGATTCAAATGAAGTCACGGACCCGTAAAGCCAGATCTGTCCACTCAGTACTTCACATTTGGGGCAAGGCTCTGCCCTCGCTGGGCCTGTTTCTCATTCCTAAACTCATTGTCTTCATCAGTGGGTCCCAATGACCAATTTATTTTCCCCCTTGTCCTGAAAGATATTGCTGATTAAATTATATATATTGTAAAATAACCATTAATTTAAAAAAATATTTGGTGCACATTTCCTGAGAGCCTCGGTGTACTTAGCTCAGAATTAGGCTTTGGGAATTCAACTGTGACCGGTCTCAGCTCCTTTTTTTTTTTTTTTGGTGGTGCTAGGGATTAAGGGCCTTGTGCATGCAAGGCAAGCACTCTACCAACTGAGCTCTCCCTCCAGCCCCTCAGCTCCCATTTCATGTACATACGGGTCCATTTGGCCACTGTAACACCAGTAGCAGGTAAAAAGTGCAGGAATCAGCTTAATCCATTTAGTTGCAATAAGTTCTCTTCTGATTGTTAAAAAGAGGAGGGACAATTTTCTTCAATATTTTTGAAATGATAAAAAGAGCTCACAGCATCCATGGCTGCCAGGGAGAACCTCTGGACTGATGACCTCTGAGTTCAGTGGGTCCTGAGTTTGTCTATGGTGACACAGCTGGCAAAGCCACACGCACCATACACTACTAGGGCATGGATCAGAAACCAGGCATGTCCATGCTGGCACTCAGCTCAATGCCACAAGTGTTTTTTGGGCACAGACTTTGTGCCAGACCGACAGCTGATATCAGCTTGTCTGTACCTGCAGACCCATTGTCGAATTCTGAAATGCCCCGTGCCAGTGGCTAAGCCAGGAATCCAGAGCCCTGTACTGCCCTGCTGCCTGCCCTCGCTCTTCCCCTTGCCCTTCACTGTGATCCAACATGCAAGGGGTTAATAAGTGACATGACAGCCTCCAAGACCTACTCAGCCCAAGGTCTGGCCCCCCAGCCTAGTGCAGCTAACTACTTTGGTGATTAGGCCAGGCCAGGTCTTTCTGGGGAGCAGGGGCTGCCATAAGGACACAGATAGGGCCCCTCTGGAAGAGCTAGCCTCTTCAGAAAACAGGCATGGTCATAGAGAAAGCCACCACCCCTCCTGGGGACACAACTAAAGTGTCATAGAGAAAGCCACCACCCCATCCTGGGGA